TTTAGCTTCATAGAAAATGTTTCTAACAGTTAAAGAAATGATTTCAATTCCCCCTAAGTCTCTAAAAATGAGCCCTGGTGGCATTCTGCTGCAAGGTTGGTAGTTTGAACCTACCTAGCAGCTCCATGGGAGAAAGGCCTGGCGATCTGCTCCCATAAAGGCTGCAGCCTAGAAAGCCCTATGGGGCAGTTCTACTCCATCCCATGGGATCCCTGTGAGTTGAAATTTGACTTGACAGCACCTAACGAGTCTCTAAACACAGTAATTAATATGAATAAATAGACAGGTAGCCCAAAGTTGAGTATCCGTGGCTCTCATGATAGACAGTTTTGTGTGATTCAAGGTTAAATATTTTATTAATCATATATGTATATGTATGTATGTATAACTCAGTGCCATCAAGTCGATTCTGACTCATAGTGACCCTATAGGACAGAGTAGAACTGCCACATAGGGTTTCCAAGGAGCGGCTGGTGGATTCGAACTGCTGACCTTTTGGTTGGCAGCCAGACTCTTAACCACTGAGCCACCAGGGCTCCATATATGTGTATGCTAATATTAATGTATATTAATCACATATGTGTTAGCAAATATATATGCATGTAATGTATATGTATATGTAGTGTATAAGCATACATATATATGGATGGCATGCAACAATAATTTTCTCCATACAGACTTTGTTCCTCATTGATTGTAATATAGAACTTCATTAATGAGATTTGAATTGAAGGTGGGTAACACTGAAAACGAGCCCTGATGGCACAGTGGTTAAGTGTTCAGCTGCGAACCAAAAAGTCGACAGTTCAAATCCACCAGCTGCTCCTTGGAAACCCTATGAGACAGTTCTACTCTGTCCTGTAGGGTCACTATGAGTCGGAATCAACTTGAGGGCAACTTTATTTATTTATTTTTTTAACATTGAAAAACAAATCTGATTGTTGAGGAATCAGTGTTTATTACATTTACATTTCGTTACATTTCTGCCTTTACATTTCTGTATACAAAGTCAGCGCACCATAAATATTAATGGAATGAATGAAATGAGTGCATATTAGCATTTCTCCTTTGTGGGCAGGGAATAAAAAAAACAAAACCAAACCCTTTGCTGTCAAGTTGATTCTGACTGACAGCGACCCTGTAGGACAGAGTAGAACTGCCCCATAGGGTTTCCAAGGCTGTTAGCAGCCGAGTGCTTAACTACTGCATCACTAGGGCTCCTTGGGCACGGAATAGGGAAGGTGAAATCTGCTTTATGTTAGGTGATCGTATAGAGCCGAATCAAGTGGAATTGAAATCTTCATTGCATCTGCCATGCCTCCTGGTAGCATGCATGCTAGGGACTGAGGATCCAAAGATGAAGAGATAGCCATCCCTGCCTTTCTGCAGCCAGTCTGTTTGGGCTGAGAAAAGGTTACACTTTGGATTTTATGTCTGTGATCTTTTTGCCAACACATTATCCTTGACCTCTGGTGTGTTGTAATATGGGTGTAATACTATATCTGGATCATCAGAGTGGAACATACTTAACAGAGGTAACCCTCTCACAGGAGTCAGATGTCATTCATACTAAATTCTTCTTCCATTGACTTCTGATTCATTATGAAATAAACTTTAATACTTAGTGTTTTTAAGCCTCCACTAGAATGAGGATAGTATAGCTGTGTCACGCCAGTGGTTCCAGCTGGGAAAGGTAGCCAGAAACCCATTGCCGTCGAGACGATTCTGACTGATGGCCACCCAATGTGTGTCAGAGTAGGACTGCACCCCATTGAGTTTTCAGTGGCTTTAATCTTCTATAAGGGAGCCCTGGTGGTGCAGTGGTTAAGCGCTTGGCTGCCAACTGAAAGGTTGCTGGTTCAAACCCACCCAGAGGCTCTGCGTCGGAAAGATCTGGCAGTCTGATCCCGTAAAGGTTACAGCCTAGAAAACCTTGTGGGGCAGTTCTCCTCTGTCGTGTAGGGTCGTTACGAGTTGGAATCAACTCGGTGGCACACAACAGGTCTTACAGAAGGAGTCCCTGAGTGGTACAAATGGTTAAGCTCTCAACTCCCAGCTGAAAGACTGGCAGTGTGAACCTACCCAGAGGCGCCTAGGCAGACAGGCCTGACCAGCTGCTTACTAAAGATCACAGTCACTGAAAACCCAGTGGAGCGGTTCAGTTCTGCACACGTGGGGTCACCACAAGTCGGCATCGACTGGAAGGCAGCAAACAGCAGTCTCATGGAACAGGTCCCTGAGTGATGCAGAAGGTTTGTGCTCAACTCCTAGCCTAAAGGTTAGCAGTTTGAACCTACCCAGCAGCACCTGAAAGAAAGGCCTGGCAGTCTGCTTCCATAAAGATTACAGCCAAAACACCCGTATGGAGCAGTTTTACTCTGTAACATATGGGGTTGTCGTGAGTTGGCAGTAGATCACCAGGCCTTTCTTCCATGGCACTGCTGCATGGATTTAAACCACCAACCTTCCAGTTAGTAGCCAAGTGCAAGCCATTTGCATCACCCTGAGAAGGGTAGAGGTCCTCAAGATTTATAACGGGCTTTATGGGCGTAATAAAAGGATTTCTTTCAAAATCTTGATCAAATCACTGGAAATATTAAGTGTTAAAACAAATTTATTTATTATCTACAGTGTACCAAGGACTTTTTTTTTTTTTTTTTTATTGAAATGTTATACTGGTTTTTGAGCTGCTTTGGTAAACATTAAGTAAAAAATCTAAAGGTACATATCCATTTTTGGAATCAGCTTGTGAATATCTTTACGTGAATTATCTCATTTCTGGGTAAGTAAATTCAGACCTGTCGTTTCTCCTCAGCTGTGAATCCTTTTTGTCACAGTTTTCTACCTTGTTATGATCCTGTATGCTTTTTACTTGAGGTTATCAGAAGATCTTGAATTTTCCTTTCCCCCAAATTTTGTTCTTCCCCAGATCGAGATGTTTGAGAAGTTTGAAAACCGTAGCACTGCATGAATAGAACCAGTTGGTTAGTGGTTTCACCAGGGGTGAAGCCCAGAGCATTCAGTGCCAGAGAGTCCTTGAGTGAGTGCGGTGGCCTCAGAGACCAGAGTTCCCTCCACCCTTTATTGTCTGTGCCCTTGGCAAGTCATTTAACTTCTGAGACTTTATTTCGTTATGTCACTATCTCAAGGATGCCCTGGAACATTTAATGAAAAGAGTAAAGTAGATGTGGGTTCAGAGTAGCGTTATTTTTCCTCCCTGTGCTTGTCCTTTCTGTCCAGAGAAGCCAGGTAGATGATGGAGGAGTGACAGCAGTCAGAGCGGGCAGGCTCTTTGAACTTACACAACTGAGAAATTAACACGTCATCTAGGGATAGACAAGAGTGGAGTACTCTTTATAAGAGGCTAAACAATTCCATCCGTACTTCATCGATATCTTTTCCACAGTAAAAGACTGCCACCGTTAGAACATACACATGAATCTGTACTTGTTCAACTTACCTTTTATTACTAGCCCGTCTGCTCTCATTTTACTTATTCGCAATCGACTTGATGGCATACAACAGTAACGAGAAGGAAGGAAGTATCCTGGGTCACTGAACCTTTCGCTAATAGATCTAGAAATGATATGAAAGTCTCCTGGCCAATTTTCTCCTGACCATATTTATTTATGTGCATATGATACTGAATATGGTTTAGTATTATCCATGCTTGAGAGAAAATGTCTCATAAAGAATTTTAATACTCTTCTCCCACCCACCCCTCACCCCCCGCCCTTTTCTCTGACTGGCTTCACCTGAGATGTGTCTTCTAAGTTGTAATTTGAACCAGTTCTTCTTCATCTGGTCTAAAAAATGTTGGAAAGATGAGCAGTTTTCCTTAATATAAGATCTGCTCAATTTACTCTTTGCTTACCTCTCTGAAGTTTATGTCACAGAAGAAATTGTTAACGCTAGACTTAGGTTAAATGCCTCCTTGTGCACAAATCCTTTCCACTCTCATTTCTTTCCACTGTGGTTTACTCATAAAATTTTCTGACAGTACATCCTAATCCTTAATGTTTTTCTTTTTTTCATGTAGGAGACCTATGAGAATATCCCAGGTCAGTCAAAGATCACATTACTCTTACAAGCCATCAGAAATACAACAGCTGCTGAGGAGGTACTGCTTTACTGTTGGAGAATATTGTGTTTGTACAAACCGAAACAGGCTGGATAGTAGATGGGAGTTACAGTGGATAACGAGAACTGGCTTTTTAGAGGACTCTGTATTAAGATTGAGAATTTCCTTTTATCTGTATAAGATGACATGTCCAGGGTGGATAAAAGTTAATGGTTTTATAAATAATTGCATAAAAATTATTTAAGTGATATCTGCAGCTATAAAAAATTTGTTTTCTTTTCCTTGAAACAATTCTAAATGAGGCAGTTTAAGTCATTCCGGGTTTTAATGTGCTACCAGATGTTTCAGAAAGAAACACTTGGGCTCTTTTAAAAATGGAAGCTCTAGGTGGTGAAGAGTACATGCTAAAGGTATGTTTAGAACAAAGACACTTTGCCTGGAATCCTTTAAAAATCACATTTTTTAACAAGTTACCTAGTTAACTATACCGAAATTCAAATTTGCTTGGGTTTTAAGAATCACAATTAAAATTTGTAGAAATACGATTTTACTTACACTTTCTGAGCCCCGTTTTTCCTATTGTAAAACAGGACTATTCTCTAGAGTTTAATAATTTATTGCTACCTTCTCTTTGTTAAGCAGTGAATATTCTTTTTTCTTCCCATAAAATAATGCCCCATAAATATTGAATGTAGTTTAATATCCTGTGTTTACTTTTGAAAAAGTAGAGAAAACCCCACCTACAGAAGGCTGCATTTAGAGCTGTCAGAGTGAGACTTTGCTGACATGGTCAGATGTGTAAAATGCTTGTACTGACACCTGATGTTTCGGAATGAAGTCGCACTAAACTTCAGTACAGCGTTTCACCCGACTTCTTCCAGTCCGTTTAGACTGATGATTAAATGTTCTCTCATAACATTTAGAGAACAATATAAAAGTGCTCGTTTTTTTAACATAGATGACAAAAGGTGTTTCTTCACCTTTGTTACATATCTTTTTAAATAATTTAAAATGAATGTCAGGTTTGAAGAACAAACAAACAAGTATGCATATATTTTCAAAAAAACCAAACCCGTTGTCAAGTAAATTCTGACTCATAGCAGTTCTGTAGGACAGAGTAGAACTGCCTTGTAGGGTTTCCAAGGCTGTAATCTTTACTGAAGCAGACTGCCACATCTTTCTCCCTCTGAGCGACTGGTGGGTTCGAACTGCTGACCTTTCAGTTGGTAGCACAGAGCTCAACCACTCACCACCAGGGCTCCTTTACATATGTACATACATACACGTACATGCTGTATATACGTGCTAACTTGTATCTCTAAGAACAGTTGGCTATCTTAATTCTTGAAGATTAATGCAAACTCGCTACTAAACAAATACAGCCATGCATCGCTTAACAGCCACAATACATTCTTTGAAATAGGTCATTATGTGAGTTGGATGTTGTGCCATTACAGGATCCTATGATCGGGATAAAATGCTTAGGTTTTATTTCAAGGGCAATGGGAAGTTTTAGCGGGTGTTGCGAGGGGCGGAGGGTGTCATGTTCCAGTTTGATTTTTTGAACAGCTCTCTGGCCTCCCTGTGAAGGGACTCTGCAGGGTGGCTAGGAGGCCAGGGAGGAGGCTGCTGGAATAGTCCTGCAGAATGCTGATGGCCAAGTGGGCTGAGATGGCGGCAGAGAGGATAAACAGAGAAGGCTTGGGTTGTATTTCAGAGGAAATTTCACAGGAGTTGTTTTTACCAAGAGATACACGTGTTGCAGGCGGGAAACTGTTGTGTTCGCTAAGTCCGGGTATGTCCGCTACATCCTGTTCTCCGATCGGGATTTCTGAGCTCCATTGTAACGTTATGGGACCAGGGATATATTTGTGGTCAGACATTGCCCGAACAGACGTTACGCGGCGCACGACTGTAGAACGCCAAGAATAGTATGGAAATTCCTGAATTTTATTTTTTTAAAAACTATTGAACCCTTCTTTAATCTTGATTTTAGAAACTGTAATTGTGAACAAACCACAGCATCTTGATTGTGACTTCATAGTTTTCAGTGTATATATGAGAAGGGCTAGTTGAAGAGTTGTGTAAGGTTTTGAACTACTTTTATAAGAATAAAAGTATAAATTTCTAGAGTATAAGTTGAAAAAAAAATAAAACTTTACTACCTGCCAAAAATAATTCAAAGAGTTCTCAGTGAGAATGAATGGCGAGAAGATTAGCAGGTTTTATTTGTACAGCTTCACTCTCTCGTTGTTAGTCACAGTCCCAAAGTCATTATTGTGATGATAATAGCCTGGGACAAAGGAGAACAGGAAAATTTGGGTTTAATGTCCACAATGGTTTACTGATTTCATATAATAAAATTTTATAATGGTATTTATCTCAACTTTTCTTTTGATAATGTCAAGGGATTATGATACAGAGAATGGTAAACAAGTATTTTCTGCAGATCTGAACATGCAAATTTTAGCATCTACACAGTGAGGTTAACATTTTTTAGGTATTGAGAACTTGTAATGTTTGTTTGCGTGAATGAAGCACAAAGGTAAGCGGATTTGATAGCATTTTGTCTAAGAGGTTAATGAAAGGGCAGTTCTGTGGTAAGGTAAGCCCAGCTGGGAGCGTAAGTTTAGGTAGGAAAGACATTCATTTCCTGCTCTGAAAACCAGATGGAGAAGTAGGAAGAGAACATTGCAGTGTTTGCCGTTTATATTAAGGTGGATTTGCCCCTAAAGAAAGTATTAAAAATAGGAATTAAAGACAGATATGGCATTACTTAGATCAGAGTTCCTGTTTGAGACCTAAAGTAGGGATTTCCCTCAGCGAAAAAACAAACTGTCTTATTGGGTGATACTTTCTATGCAATGGTAGACTAATGTGATTTTGAAAGAATTTTGAACATTTTACCCTTTTGTTTTTAAATCTAACAAATTGCTTTTGAAGTGAATTGTAAAAATAGAACACATCAGTGGCAGAGTGAACCTAGTTGGTTGGAAACTTTTTCTCTAGTAAGACACCAAGTTATGGACCATGTAATCTATTTGTAGGCTAGACAGATGGCTGCCGTTCTCCTAAGACGTCTTTTGTCCTCTGCGTTTGATGAAGTCTATCCAACTCTTCCTTCCGACGTTCAGACTGCCATCAGGAGTGAACTGCTAATGATTATTCAGATGGAAACACAATCTAGCATGAGGAAAAAAATTTGTGACATCGCTGCAGAGCTTGCCAGGAATTTAATAGGTGTGTATGGAAGTGCATTATCACATTACAGAAGAAAGTGTGGATGGCCTTCCTTTTCTTTTAAACTGGGATCTTTCAGAGTTTTGGAAAAGGAATCATGAGTACCTAAGTATCGATTATTCTGTTTAAAATCAGTGTGATTATGGATTCAGCACTTAAGAGTCAGAAGTTTCAGATGTTTGTGACAGGCAATCGTAATACTTGCCTCTTGGTCTTCAGACATCCAGGTGGAGAAATAATTTTGTGGTTTACTTAAAAACTGAGAATTATATTTTCCTCTTACTCTATCAAGTTTTAGAAGCACGGGCTAACTAACGACGTAACCCCCGTTTATAGATAAAACTTGCCAGTGGAAGTAGAGATCAGTGGATGCCAGGTGCTTTCGCTCACACACCCGTCAGTGATATATATTTTTAGCACATACCCTCAGTATTCTAGATGTGTTTATAAACTATTTACATGTGCTAATACACCATGTGTATTGTAGGAAATAGAAAAAATATTTTTAAAGGATGAGATAAAAGGAAAGTTAAAAATGCATTTTATTGATAGTAAAAACCCTTTTTGGTCACACTAAAAGATATTAATGTAATTAAATATGTTTCATTTTTTTGACAGTGATTCAGAGGTGTAATTCTAAGCTCAGCTCACTTAGCATTTTTGATGGACTAAAAAGTTAAGGGCTAAATGGGAGACTGTTGTTGGTTGTGTGTAGTAAATTACAACCTTAAATTTTTAATCCTATCCACCGTTAATGCAGAAGTTCTTATTCACTTCAGCTAGTGTTGTCATCCTTTCTGATGTCAGCCATTTCTTATACACTAAAAAGTAATGTGTTAAATTTTTATATTTTGAGTTCAAAATCCGCTGAAATTCTTAATTTTGAAGATTTTTAAATAGCCTAAAAATTCTAGTTTCAAGTTTTAAGTGTGCAGATATGAATTTTTAAAGGTGACATCATTTCTGTTTCAAAATTAATTAATAATGGTTTACATGTTTAATGGATTACATTTCCAAAAGATTTCAAAGTGCTCTCTCCATAGAATTTTTTTAAGCAGCTATTTTATTCCTTCTCAGAGTGTCATGTTTATAGTGAAATGTGTGCGTGTGTGTGTATAAAATGTCAGCTAGGCAGTGTGCTTGTCATTTCACGTTAGGTGAACAAATTTGAAAACAGGTTTTTAAAAGAAAAGGTATATAACTTATTTGTAATTTCTATAACTCTCAAGTTATTTGTGACCGTATCACCAGTGAGTCTCTTTTTAACGATTACTCCTCATTCCTGTTACAAAGTATCATAAGTCTATATTTTAAAATCTTGCTAAAAAGTAAACACATCGGTGACATCCTGTAGCGCTTGAAAACTGCGATGTATGAGGACCCTCTCTGGGTCCTGGAACTACTTCTGCTCTTGTGTCTTCTCTGGTGTGAGACCCATAATTATTCTGGATTCAAGATTATTCTTCCAAATATTATCTTTGCCCACTTTTTAAAACTCTTTAAAATAATAATGATACATACTAATGATTCAACCCACCAAATATTTGTAAGGGTAAGAGCCCTCTCTCCAAATCCTGCTCCTTAGAAGTAACCACTCCTAATGTCTGTTTATGTAACCTAAAGACAGAGTTGTTTAGGACTTAATTTTATTGAAATGTTTTTAAAAATATAGAGCAAGTACCATTTTCCATTATTGTATATTGTGAATGGGGCTTATGCAATGAAAGGAATCACCCTTTTAATGTTTTGAAACTGACTTAACATACTTTATTGCCTGAATGTCTTTCAGATGAAGATGGTAACAACCAGTGGCCTGAAGGCTTGAAGTTCCTTTTCGATTCAGTTAGCTCACAAAACATGGGCCTGCGGGAAGCTGCTCTTCACATCTTCTGGTATACGCATTGTTCTACTGTTTTATTTTTTCAATTTGATGTCTTGAATGCCCAAAACACATTTTAATTGATTATTCTAGCCTAATTTAACTTCTTAGACTTAAAATAACACCTTTAGAAAGGCTTTTGTATTTTTGTTGGAAGTAAAGTTGGGAAATGAAGCTTTTTATTTTCACGTTGATTTTTTTTTTTTGTGTACAAAGGATCTGTGCGATTTTATTTCTCTCCGTTGTCTTTTCTGATTCTGAAAAAAAATTTCTGGAATGGTTTCCTCTCCTTTATTCGGAGGTTGACAAAGTACCAAACAGTAGCCTTTAGGAACCCACTTTAACAACAGAAGTGTGTAGAGAAAGAGGAGAATGATGGTTAATCCCCATTAGGTTTTCTGGGTCATCTGTGATCAAGCTTTATAAAGATATAATATTATAGCAAACATCTGTATATTTATGAGCAGTTGGTCTCAGTTTAGAATTAAACAGTTACTTGCATTTGAAAATTTTTTGCCCTTTTGTATTACCATAGTCACTTCTACAGCATTTAAAATGTAGTTTATATAATTGGATTGATAACTTTGCGAGATCATATACATTATTTTTAACATGAGCATCAAAGGGGAATAAGCATAGACATTACACCATTTTCTATTTTAATTGTTAAATGTGTCTTGTTTGTATTAGTAATCAAGATTAGAGGATTAAGTTTAAAACATTTAGTCTAACCAATTTGTTTGCCAATTTGAAGTGGAAGAGAACTTGGACTACCTGGGTCACAGAGGCTAGGAGCAGATTGTCAGAAAGCATGGTTACTCCAGATAACCATCTGAAACCCAGGGGGTTGCACACGTCCCCATTCTGCACTCCAGGTTATCTTCCAACCGAGACAGAGTAATAAGGATAAATCAAAGCATTGGAAATGGGGAGCTGAGTAGGGTAGCACCTGGGTTGCCTCTGCTCAACCTAATCCTCCCCAGTGTGTTTGTTTCCATTCACCCAGCTTGTAAAGAGGATTGGCTAGAGGTTGGGTAGATGGTTGTAGCCTTCGGAATTAGTCCATACATTTGAGTCAGGCAAACGTTTAATCAGAAGTTCTAGCTGACACGTCACTGAGATAAAATGTAGTTTTTAAAGAGTGCTTTGGATCATTTTTTAGGAACTTTCCTGGAATTTTTGGAAACCAACAGCAGCACTATTTAGACGTCATCAAACGGATGTTAGTTCAGTGTATGCAAGATCAGGAACATCCATCGGTAAATCATTTCAATTCCATTAACACTTAACGTAATGTAATGTCTAACTAGTGAAATAAATTCATGTATGAGGAGATTGTTGTATACTTTAAAATATAATTACTAATTTTACTGGTAAAAGAAAAATTGTATATTGTGTGAGAAAACTTGAAAGCAACAACTGTTTCTTGTATTCATCACCTTTGTTCTCTTCATTTTAGATCAGGACGTTATCCGCTAGAGCTACAGCTGCGTTTATACTTGCCAATGAGCATAATGTCGCTCTGTTCAAACATTTTGCAGACTTATTACCCGGATTCTTACAGGTAAGAAAACACTGTCATTTTATGCAAATAACGCGTGCCTTCCGCGTTTGTTTGCCGGCCGCACCCTCCCCCTTCAAGGCAACCTCACAAACGCAGCCATGCCAGTCCTCTTCTGTGTGTTGCTGTATAAAAAAATCAGCATAGTGCACTTAGCAAAAGACCTCAAGGGGGAGGACGCAGCCTGCAAGCAGATGCAGGAGGTGAGTGTTATGTGCGTAAAAATACTGTATTAGATGTTAATTATATCCTTATTAGTTTTCATGTGTTCAAATACATGTCAGAGTTCTGTGGCACACTCACTCATTACTTCAGTAAACATTGCCTTCTATCTGCTAACACTATGTAGGCTCTAAAGATGCACAAACACAAATCTTTGTCCCCATTAAGCTTACATTTATTGCTTTTGAAAAGACTCTTCATCTCTTAAAATGTTTAGAGTTTTAGAAATTTTCTATAAAGCAGACAATATAAGCAATTATATATGCTTACATGGGTCTTATTGAATATTTAATCACGTAGTTTTATTTCCCTTAAATCAGCCAAATAACCTATGAGCTTTAATGCCCATTTTACGTAAGGAGAACTAAGGAGAAGAGGCTAAGGAACTTGCCCAAGATCACAGTGACGGTAGGTGGTAGCATTGCATTCAAACCCAGATCAGACCAGAGCCCTTCCTCTTTACCACGGAGCTGGTAAGAGTTTGTATTGTAAAAAAGCAGTTTATGGTAAACCCTATGGGACAGAGTAGAACTGGTGGATTCAAACAGCTGACCTTTTGGTTACCAGCCGAGCTCTTAACCACTGCACCACTAGATCCCCAGAATAGGGTATTATTTTAAGGCTACTTCCTACCTTAATCAGAAAGCAAGATAATATTGGATAAGTTAGAACACGGATTCTCAAATCATGTCAGGCTCAAAAGCCCCTTGTTAAAACAAGTACAGTCATGCAACACATAATGTCTGTTCCGGCACCGTCTGTCCACATGTACGTTCGTAGTCCAGCGTTGCACCCTGCAGGGCTGTCCACAGCTCGACTAGGCATCAGGCCTGTCTCAGTGCCCCCCACCCCAGATAACGGGTGTCCCTGCTGCTGAGAGGAGTGGGCACCCAATCCCGCTCCCAAGCATCCAGGTCAGCAGGCACTGCAGGACCCAGCTAGGGTAGGAGCGCTGGGTCACCGAGACCACTCCCATGCTACCCCACTGTGGCCATCACAGGGCTTCAGGGCTGTGCAGGACCCAGCCAAGCGCTCACCTGAGGCGTCTGCACACGGCAGCCCCCTGGCCTGGGCTCCCATTAGCTTCTGCACACCACGGACCCAACTAATACAAACTACAAATCACATAAAGTCCTATCTCACAGAACAGTTCATGGATGTTAAGTGACTCGTGCCTGTCTTATAACTTCCCATATACTGTCCTAGAATGGAATTCAGAGGTAATATAATTCATCTACATGCACAGTTGACGAGCAAGTTTCAGAGTAGCTTCTAATCCATTTTGGTCTTTTCCTTCTTTCCTGTCTTTTTAATAACAATTCGCTTTCTTCATGTATCACGTCTTTGATGTCATCCCACAAATCCTCTGGTCTTTGGTCATTAGTAAAAGAGCTGAACAGAAGATTTCAAAGAGCAGCTTGAGAAGACAAAAGTAAAATATTAAAATATGCAAAGACCTGGAGTTAGAAAACCAAAAGGGAAGAACACACTTGGTATTTCACGAGCTGAAAGAACTGAAGAAAAAATTCAAGCCTCAAGTTGCAATATTGAGGGATTCTATGGGGAAAATATTGAACGAAGCAGAAAGCATCAAAAGAAGATAGAAGGAATTTACAGTCACTGTACCAAAAAGAATGGGTCAACATCCAGCCATTTCAGAAGGTAGAATCTCATCAAGAACCCATGGTATTGAAGGAAGAAGCCCAAGCTGCACTGAAGGCATTGGCAAAAACAAGGCTCCAGGGATTGACAGAATACTAATTGAGATATTTCAGCAAATGCATGCAATGCTAAAAGCACTCATTCATCTATGCCAAGGGATTTGGAAGACAACTACCTGGCCAACAACTGGAAGAAATCCGTATTTGTGCCCATTCCTAAGAAAGGGGATCCCAGCAGAAATTATCAAACAGTATCATTAATATCATACACAAAATTTTTCTGAGGCAGTTCAAAAGCAGTTGCAGCAGTACATCAGCAAGGAGCTGCCAAAAAGTCAAACCGAATTCAGAAGAGGATGTTGAACGAGGGATATCACTGCCGATGGCAGATGATGCCAGAAAGATGTTTATCTGTGTTTTATGAACTATGGAAAGGCATTCAACTGTGTGGATCATGACACATTATGGATAACATTGCAAAGAATGGGAATTGCAGAACACTTAATTGTGCTCATACGGAACCTGTACCTAGAGCAAGAGGCAGTCATTTGACAGAACAAGAGAATACGGAGTGGTTTGAAATCAGGAAAGTTGTGCATGAGGATTGTGTCCTTTCACCATACTTGTTCAGTCTGTATGCTGAGCAAGTAATCCGAGAAACTGAACTATACGAAGAAGAATGCAGCATCAGGATTGGAGGAAGACTCGTTAACATTCTGAGATATGCAGATGACACAGCCTTGCTTGCTGGAATTGAAGAGGACTTGAGGCACTTATTGAGGAAGATCAAAGGCTACAGCCTTCAGTATGGATTAAACTTTAATATAAAGCAAAAATCTACACAACTGGACCAATAAGCAACATCATGATAAACAGAAAAAATATTGAAGTCGTCAAGGATTTCATTTTACTTGGATCCACAATCAATGACCATAGAAGCAGCAGTTAAGAAATCAAACGTATTGCATTGGGCACATCTGCTGCAAAAGACTTCTTTAAAGTGTTAAAAAGGCAAAGATGTCACTCAAAGGACCAAGGTGCGCCTGACCCAAGCCGTGATATCTTCAGTCACTTCGTATGCACATGAAGGTTGGACAGTGAATAAGGACAACTGAGGAAGAATTGACGTCTTTGAATTATGGTGTTAGTGAAGAATATTGAATATAACTTTGAACTGCCAGAAGAAGGAACAAATGTGTCTTGGAAAAAGTACAACCAGAATGCTCCTTAGAAGCAAGGATGGCAAGACTTCATCTCACGTACTTCGGACATGTTATCAGGAGGGACCAGTCCCTGGAGAAGGGCATCACGCTTGGTGAAGTAGAGGGTCAGTGAAAAAAGAGGAAGAACTTCGAGGAGATGGACTGACACCGTGGCTGCAACAATGGGCTCACATAACAGTGATTGTGCGAGTGGCACAGGACCAGGCAGTGTTTTGTTCTGTTGTATATGATGTCGCTGTGAGTTGGAACCAACTCGACAGCACCTAACAACAACACAGGCACGGGTTTTTAAAATACCAATTTATGGTGGTAACTGAGCACAAAGAAGAAATAAAAAGTGATGTGTAGTTCCATATGAATGCTTAGGCATGACTACCTGAAAGATACAGTGGATGCAGTGGTTTAAAGGATCTGCAAAAATGCAGTAGCTAAAAATGTGGACTGGTAACAGATGTGTCATTGGCAAGTCAAACACGGTTATCAGTGCTGTTGGCCATGTGATTTCCTGAAATGGTAAAATTCTGGACAAAACAAAGTATATGTTGGTCCTTGATTTATACAGTAGTTACATTCTTGGGGGAAAAGTCATACATTAAAACCAGGCAGCAAATAGTTTGTGAGTTAAGTTCCACATTCAGATCATTATAAATAGGTTTTTCTATTTTATGAGTGTCTGACATTTCTGATCATGTGAGATGCAAGACAGTTCCTCATTGTGAGGATTTGTAGATCACAGATACAGGACATCTGGACTCCCTGGTCTTCGCTAACGTTCAATCACCGTGACTCCCAAGAAACACCTCCTGGGAGAGGCAGCACCCGTGTTGAGAACCACTGGGTTAGAGAGGATTTAGAGGAGCTAAAATGGAAAGTTTCCAAGTGATAAAAAAAAATATTAATTTGGATTTAGTAGAAACTTTTCTCACCATGCTATCAATTTGAAAGGATAATTTAGGTCAGTGACAAAACGTCTGTTCCATGCTGTTGTTTTAGTAGTTTCTGATCTGAAATCTTGAGTAACTCATGGTTTAATTTTAATAGCAGAAGTGTTTCTTCCTCTGTATCTAGAGTTAAGTTTAAGTGTTAGCCAGAATTTCTAGCAGTTGTCACTCTGAAACAAGCAGCAGTAGATACGTAAATGCACGCTTACATACCACGATGGCCAACCTTGATGTCAAACAGAAATTGGTAATATTGAACACAGTAAATCCATCTTAGGATCTAAGAGTTACTATGTGTAGGAAGCACTCATTCATCTATGCCAAGGGATTTGGAAGACAACTACCTGGCCAACAACTGGAAGAAATCCGTATTTGTGCCCATTCCTAAGAAAGGGGATCCCAGCAGAAATTATCAAACAGTATCATTAATATCATACACAAAATTTTTCTGAGGCAGTTCAAAAGTTCAAAAGATCTTAGGATCTAAGAGTTACTATGTGTAGGAAGGAAGGACGAGGGTATGGGTGTAGAAAAGACAAAGGAGAGGGCTTCCTTGTAGTTACAAAAAAGAATTCCCTGAGTTTTGTTGTGGTTGTAGTTTCACTGGTTTTAATTTTGATTTAGATTTAAATCTTTATTTTCTATGTTTCTTGTTGACATTAGTTGAAGGTGTCCATGTGCTTATGGATAGAACATTTGCATGTTTATAGATTGCTGAGTTGTTACTCAACTAAAAATACTGTTAACTCTTAAAACTCTTAAACATGTTTTGCCTGATGAGGCATCGTAGTGTGACTCTGAGCACCTTGAGAGAAAGTTACACGCAAGCTTTTTTTCCTCTTTTATAGGCTGTAAATGACTCATGCTACCAGAATGACGATTCAGTCCTGAAGTCCCTTGTTGAGATCGCAGATACTGTTCCCAAGTATTTGCGGCCTCATTTAGAAGCTACTTTACAACTAAGTCTAAAGGTACATTAACTACTTCCAATACATTTTCTGTTTATTATTTTTAGTTATTGATATTAACTACTAAATGTGTATAAATATTTTTTTTGTAGTTATGTGCAGACACTAACCTCAATAATATGCAGCGTCAGCTTGCCCTTGAAGTGATCGTGACCCTATCTGAGACAGCAGCCGCTATGTTAAGAAAACATACCAATATTGTTGCACAGACTAGTAAGTAAAAGTTCTTTAAAATAGTTTCATGTGTTAAAGTGGCAAACTCATTTGATAAATGGTCTGAGGATTATGTAATTCACAGATGTGTTGAGGATATGGTGAATGCACTTCCAGAATCTGATGACTGTGGGGAAGTGAATACCCACATATATTTACATGCATGTACCCAAAGTTGTGGTTCTGCCTTTAAGAGTTTGCAGGCACCCTGAAACTTGGTGTTACAAGGAAGATGTCTGTAGTGGATGGTGATATATTCTGTTGTATATGTTAGACATTGAGTTAATAGAGTTAAAAATTTTCAGATGATATGTGCACATCTAGTCTAAAACTCATATAGATTGGCCAACTGAAAATCAAGGTAACATAACTGTGCTACTTTACAGTGGAGGTAGGATTGGAACACAGATCTAACACTGATCACAGGGCTCTTTTCACTACCTTGTGTTGCTTTGTTTTTAGACCCTCTCTGCAGGAGAAACTTGAATCTATCATGCTATGGAAATAGTAACTTTAAAGTTCCATTGTGCTGGAATAGGGGATGGGCAACTACTAACCTGATGTTTTCTGGCCCAGTCATTTCTTCACATACAAATGGGTGTTTGAACAGTTGGTTATGTTCATTTAGAAAGTAAATACATCACCAAATTTATTTTGTAGTGCTGTCTACCGTTTATTTATCTCACACTGAGGTAGTGGTTGAAATTTTAAAATCAGTCCCATTCAAGTCAGGAAGAGAAGGTAGCCTCACTGTCACTGCTTCTGTTGTACCCATGGTCCTAGACAGCCCAGTAAGAGATTAAGTATACAAATTGGAAACAGAAGAAGTTGCTTGTTTGTAGGTTGTATAATTATCTCTGAAAATACAAAAGAATAAACAGGTAAACTGTTAGGCTGATTAAAGGGTTTAATCAGCAAGGTTGCTGGATATGAGGGTAACGGAAAAATAACAGTGTTCCTATAGACCAATAATAGTCATTTGGAAAATTTTTGATGAAAAAAACTGTCATAGCAGGGATGACTTGTAGTACCTAGGAATAAATCAAAAGATACATAAGACCTTTATGGAGAAGATTGGATAATATGGAAAGACCTGATAGAAGACTTAAATATCAGTTCTCCTCAAATTAATACATAAATTCAACATAATTTCAGTCAACATTCCAATAGGATTGATCATGAGATTCATGTGGAAGAACAAAGAACCTAGAGTAGCCGAGACAATTTAGAAAAACAAGATGGGGCCCTTGCCCTGTCAGCTGTGAAGATTTAGAATTTGTTGACAGTGCAGCTGTAGACAGATGGAGGAGAGGAGAGTCCAGGAGCAGATCTGCTGACATGGAAGCAAAGATAAATAGTTCATCAAAAGTTGTGGAACAACTGGTTATTTCTGTGGAAAAAATATATATCCCAAAAATATTCTGTAAAAAACAATTTTGGGTTGACTAAAAACCTAAATATTACAGATACATTTTACAAGTAAAGCCGGGTATTAGAAATCTTTTTTCTAAGATTCTGAATCACAAACTATAGTCACAAACATTGCAAAATATGCGAATTCGAAAACAAAATTTTTGACAAAGCACATACACCATAAGTGAAATTAAAAGATAAGCCACAAACTGGGAGAAATTAGTTGCATTGCACAATCAACAAAGTTTTGGAATCTAGAAAATCTTAATAAACCCAAGTGTAGTTGTGGAATGGAAATTGACAGAGAGTTTGACAGTATCAAGTGTTGGCGAAGGGTGTAACGCTGAGAGGACTCTAATGCTCTGTTCCAGGCCACATAACACATGGTTGTGGAATAAGACAAGCTTCCTCTTAGGCTTTCAGTGGCGTTGTAAGTTTGCACACCCATTTTGGAGAGCAATTTGATGATTTTTAGTGCTGTCGAAGATACTCTTAATAAGAATTTCGTACCCAAAACTCTCGCTTGTGAAGGAGGAGACAAGTATAAGAATGCTCATCAAAGCAGATTTTGCATTAGAAAGATAACGGGAAACAATCAAAATGTCCATCAGCAGGACAATGGATGACTAATACAGTGGATTGCTGTAAAGTAATTAAAAAACGAAATTCACATGTATTGAGAAAAAGTGCACGGCCGAAGGATACACACAGTATGCCATTTATATATAAAAAAAATGAAATCTTGAAATAGTAGTACACTTTGTATATAGATACATTCTGTAGTTATAAAAACAACTTGGGAATAGTAAACATTGATTTCATGATGGTGCTTACCTCTGGTGACAGGGAGGGACCGCAGTAGGGTTCAGGAAGCTCATAGGACGTTTCGACTTTTATCCTGAATGTTACTTCTTAAAACAGGATATAAAGTAAATATGGCAAAAGGTTAAAATTTTAAAAACCAGGTGGTGAGGGCATACGCGCATGATTTTTTTTGTCTCTCTTGGAGGCAAAGTAAATCCTTCATTTTTCACTTCTGACTTCAAAATTCTTGTTTGTAAATGGTGACGTTGACAAAATAATAACTACTGAAATAATCGTTTAATTTAGTTCCTCAGATGTTAGCAATGATGGTTGATCTGGAGGAGGATGAGGACTGGGCAAATGCTGATGAGCTAGAAGATGATGATTTTGACAGGTAACTCCATAAACCAAATACTTTGTGGAGGTCTCGAGATGGTAGAGCAAACACAGGGTGGGAATGAGAGTTTTGGGGTTACGAGGCCCATCCCTCTTCACTGGTGTGTTCTCTAAACCTAAGTTAAACTTTTACGTTTGAGATATGAGGTCACCTAAGCTTTCTTTTGTATACATTTCTGTATCTATGCTTTAAATAGTATTTTATTTTCTTATTCATGTGTAATTAGTAAAATTCATATACATTTAATGAAAATGAATAAAGACACTTTAATAGTAAATAGGTAATAAATAAAACTATTTTGTAATCAAGAAACGAAAGATACCCAGGACAACAAACAAGGATGTTTATCTTCAGAGAAAACCTCTGACATAAAGTACAGCAAATAAAATAGTTATCTTTTCTATCCCGTCTTAGTCTAAATTGTCTTCAAGATTTTTTAGTTCTAGTATCTTCTAAAATAAGTATAAAGAAGCTTTATTGTGATAAGTGCCTTTATATGCATAGGCCTCGCTTAGAATAGCTGTTTCAACAAAATTCCCTGCAAAACACCATATTTTCCCAATATAATGCACTTTAACTTTAGGATGGAGAGGGTATAGTGGTGGCAAGATTAGTACATTGTAACATTGAAATCACTATTTGTACTTATTTAGACTTAGAAGACCTCCATGAATACAAATGCCTATGGAAAATTAAACTAAAATTTTAATTAAAGTTTACCGTATCTTCTGTATAGTAATGGTAGAGTAAGGATTCTACAGGGAAAATACTAAACAATGCAGGAAGCATCAAAAGAAGATGGAAGGAATACACAGAGTCACTGTACCAAAAAGAATTGGTCGATGTTCAACCGTTTCAGGAGGAAGCATCTGATCAAGAACTGATGGTACTGAAGGAAGAAGTCCAGGCTACACTGATGGCATTGGCGGAAAACGAGGCTCCAGGAATTGACCGAATACCAACTGAGATGTTTCAGCAAACAGATGCAGCGCTGAAAGTGCTCACTTATCTATGCTAAGGAATTTGGAAGACAGCTACCTAGTCAGCTGACTGGAAGAGATCCATTTTTGTACTCATTCCCAAGAAAGGTAATCCTAACAATGCAGAAATTCTCAAACAGTGTCATTAGTATCATACGCAAGTAAAATTCTGCTGAGGATCATTCAAAAGAAGTTACAGCAGTACATTGACAGGCAAGTGCCGGTAATTCCAGCTGGATTCAAAAGAGGATGTGGAACAACGGGTGTCATTGCTGATGTCAGATGGATCATGGCTAAAAGGCAGAGAATATCAGAAAGATGTTTACCTGTGTTTTAGTGACTATGCAAAGGCATTTGACTGTGTGGATCATAACAAACTATGGATAACATTGCAAAGAATGGGAATTCCAGAAAACTTAACTGTGCTCGTGAGGCAGTCATTCAAACAGGACAAGAGGATACTGCATGGTTTAAAGTTAGGAAAGGTGAGTATCAGGGTCGTATCCTTTCACCATACTTAATCTGTATGCTAAGCAAATAATCTGAGAAACTGGACTACATGAAGAACGGGTCATCAGGATTGGAGGAAGGCTCATTGACAACCTGCAACATGCAGATGACGCAGCCTTGCTTGCTGAAAGCGAAGAAGACTTGAAGCACTTACTGACGAAAATCAAAGACCACAGCCTTCAGTATGGATCACACCTCAACATAAAACAAAAATCCTCACAACTGGACCAATAAGCAACATCATGATAAATGGAAAAAAGATTGTAGTTGTCAAGGATTTCATTTTACTTGGATCCGCAATCAACACCCACGGAAGCAGCAGTCAGGAAATCAAACGACACATTGCACTGGTAACATCTGCTGCAAAAGATCACTTTAAAGTGTTAAAAAGCAAAGGTGTCACTTGGAGGACTAAGGTGTGCCTCACCCAAGCCATGGTGTTTTCAGTTGCCTCATATGCATGCAAAAGCTGGACAGTGAATGAGGAAGACCAAAGAAGAATTGACACCTTTGAATTATGGTGTTGGCAGAGAATATTGAATATACCGTGGACTGCCAGAAGAATGAACAAATCTGTCTTGGAAGAAGTGCAGCCAGCGTACTCATTAGAAGCAAAGATGGCACAACTTCATCTCCTGTACTTTGGACATATTATCAGGAGGGACCAGTCTCTGGAGAAGGACATCATGCTTGGTAAAGTAGAGGGTCAGCGAAAGAGAGGAAGACCCTCCACAAGATGTACTGACACTGGCTGCAACAATGAGTTCAAGCATAACAACGATTGTGAGGATGGCATAGGACCAGACAGCGTTGTGTTCTGTTGTACACGGAATTGCTGTGAGTTGGAACCAACTCGATGATGATGATGTTCCCTTACCTGTATATGAAGTGTAGCGCTTCAAAGCTGTGTTATTTTAATTGCTATTAGTATTCCTATTATAGTGCAATAATGGAAAGTGAGGATTGAGTGAGTTGTCTGAGGTTACATAGTCAGTTAGACTGGATGTTAACACCATTTCTTTTCTTCCCAGTATGTCATCCTACCACCCTTCTTAAAAAGAATTGAAAATATTCCATGAAAGACTGGGCATTACTAGAAAGTGCTGTAACAGATAATAGTTTAACAAAGGTCAGAATTCAAGACACTTGACTTTCAGAATATATGGCACATTTTTAAGGCTGAATTGCATCCTTAAAAATGACTGATTTCTGGCTTAAATACCATTTTGAAGTACAGATTTCCCCACCTACCCGAAAATAGGGCATTCCTGTGAAGTCTTTCATAAGCTGAGATGGCGTGAAGTGAAGAAGCAGTTACCGTTAATTTATATGGGAAAGTTTTTTGAGTGTTCCCAGACCCAAAAAATAAACTACCGCATCGTACCAAGTAACACGTGAAACCCTTACGAGCTCTCTTAGGCTTTTCTGACTCCTTAGGCCCCTTCTTACCAACAGATGCACAAGGTAAATGGAGATAAAGCACAGGTGCTCACAGACACAGTTCGGAGCTATGGCGGCTTGATGCGGAGATGCTGAGTGTAGTTCCCAGGAAGAAGCTTGGTGACGCCACTCGCTGCTCAGGGTGCACACTGCCTCTTTGACAGCTTGCTGCAAGACAGACAATGCTATTTCCACTTTCTGCCCTTTTATCATGAACGCGAAAATCCTCCTCGGATTTCTTGTTGTTAGCGAAAACAGGTACTAATGTAGGTCTTTTGCAAAAGGAAAGTGGCATAAAGTGACCTTTGGAAAGCAGAGGATACCTGTATATGAAAGTAATCACTGGAAATAACGAGCAGGGCTGAAGAAAAACTGGGGCAGCTCACGTTTCCTTTCTCTGTTTCAGTTACTGGAAGGTGCCGCCACCTGTCCTTCAGTTTGTCTTGTAAAAAGCATTTAAACACGTATAATCTAAGGAACTTTTTTATGGGCTACATGAGTAAGATTTTCTTATCTGTACGCAGGGCAGAAGTATATTTTCAAGATCAGTTGATCATTCTGTTATGAAGCTGCTCTAAATCTAAAGATCATAGCTCTGTGTTTAGTCTTAGATGATGCGTCTGACTAATCTCGCTGTCTCAAGCCAGAACAACTGCAGATATTTTTATGCCTAGATTTCTTTCATTTTTATTAAAAACACTAGAATTGAGTTTTACTTCTGTATATTTTTGGTAATGCAATTTGCACCCCTTGAAGATGTTTTAATTAGTTCACAGCGAGAGCAGGAAATCCTATATTCTCAGCACCTTTCTGTTCTCTGTGTTCCGTTCATTGACGAGGTTGAAGGATGTATTTCCAGGAAACGAGGTACACGAGGCTCCCCTGAACACTCCACTTCCTACCTTTGTGTCTTGCAGATGTCAGAAGCTGTCTCTGAGAGTGATTTTTTCCCAGGGCGGGGGACGTGCAGGGGGCTTGAAAAATAAGATGTAGGGACTTGACTTTTAAAACTAAGGTGGATCATCCCCAATAACTTCAAAGTCCCATTTGAAGTACTACTTGAGTTACACCTTTTTTTCAGTCCTGGCGTGCTGGCATGTTTGTTGATACGTTTGTGTGCTGTGTAACTTTTTTCTTACCACACATTTGAAGTATGTTGAGTATAGTCCTTTGTTTGTTTAGCAATGCAGTTGCTGGCGAGAGTGCTCTAGACCGAATGGCCTGTGGACTTGGTGGGAAGCTCGTCCTGCCAATGATCAAGGAGCACATTATGCAGATGCTGCAGAACCGTAAGTTCTTCCTTCGTCCTTCAGATGCTAGAGTCACAGGATGTGGCTTCTCATCCTCTCCACGACTAGTGCTGTTCAAGTCAGCCTCCCCAGGACTGGCTTCAGTGTCGAGAGGAAAATGACAAGTTCTAAGGAAAATTTATAGATTTACTTACTAGCGAGAAAGATTTGGATTTTAATCTAAGACATCATTATTTGAATGTTTATGAAATATTAGCATATTGGATTCCTATAATCGTTCTTTGCCCATTATCTTGTATTTTTTAAAAAATAAATTTAGTATTCAGGATAGAAGTCATTCTGTGTTTCAACTGATATTTCTCTGATAAATACAAATATTTGTGTTTGTCGTCACGCTTTGTGGCAGGAACTTTAGCAATGTCAAAAATCGCTGTTGGATACGTGGGGGTTTTTTTGTCTTTTAATTACAAAGTTAATATTCTTGACGTTTTGAACAATTTCAAATAGAGAAGTATATAAACTGAAGTCATTCAGAAATTTTTATTCAGAGGTGAATATGGTTAACCATTCTTTTGAGACTCTTCTCTGACCGCATCTATGTAGATTTACGTGTGACTATACCAGGCACACCCTACGGGTCCTAAGGTTTTGCTCCACAGTATACCATACCGCCACATACAGTCTACCTCATTTTTAACAGCCGCATAGCTTTTCATAACTCCCAATTAAATGTTAATAGTTTTTGTTAATTACAAATAGTGCTAATGTAAACAGTTTTCTACAGAAATCCTGGCTTTACTTGTGTGACTCTTTATTAGAGTAGCTATCTAGAGACAAGGCTGGAGGGTCCAGCCACTGATACAGGATCTTAAAGTGGTCTAATGTGTAACAGACCACCAGCGTCAAAGGAAAGTGAATTCTTGAGACCTCTGACTCCTTGGCAGTTTCTCCTAGTTCCTTCTTGTCCATTATGATTCTTTTTTTATTATCCTGAAAAGGCATGGTCAAAAACCATGATCCCTTTTTAATGATATTTTTATGTCTTTTTCCCCTAAACTTTTTGAAGGTCTTTTTCCAAAGGGATAGAGACTCTCAGTATCACAGATTGCTTGACCTGTAAGAGTTACTAGAAAGAATAAATCTAGCTTTTCCATTTTTAAAATGAAGGTGAGGCCCAGAGACATTGAAAGTTTGCACAGGGTCAACTAGCTGTCAGTGTTTCTCCATTGATTCACACTGCTCTTTTCAGATAGTCCTGTTGTAGGTGTGAGTATGATGTATAGTTAACGCATTGGACTTTAAGTGCCTGCTACAACTTACTAACTGGATTGCAGAAGACTTTTCATAAATGACAATAAACTCTCAGTAAAGGTTTGTTATTGTTAAATGTATGACTTTCAGCAAGTCTTCTGCACCTTGGTTTCCTTGCTTGTAAAATAGGAAGATGATGCTTGCCCTACAGCCAGGATTGGTGTTAGGATCAAACGATGTGTGTGATACATGTGAAATGTACACCACCGTAAACGATGCATATTTCTTTGTTTGAAATTTTATAGTAACATCTTTTTGCCTAAAACGTTCACTAGTTTTTGCCCCACTGAATGTTCTTTGATTCTAAGAAGCTTAACATGTCTGCATTTGCCCCACTTAATTAAAAAGAAAGAACTTGTATTGTTTTTCTTAAAATAATAAAATGTTACATTTAAAAATATTTTAAAGTTCAGAGAAAAACCATCTCCAGATCTCCCCCTGCCATTACCATCACATTCTGCTAAGCTTACTTCCAGGATCTCTGACACTGGGAATATATGAGGCTTTTTTTTTTTTCTCTCTCTCTCTCAACCAAATATGGACATTTTTCTATGTCAGTAAGTATGTACTGCATTTCTTCTTTAGATGAATAGGTCCAATATGCGGAGAGTTGCATCAGCTCTTGATATATTGGTTTCTAGGGTCATTATTTCTCAGTTGAGAAATACTGGCTTAGTGGTACATTGAGTAATTGAAACCAATTAGAAACATTTACCAAAATATTTTAAATACTTAACACTAAGGAATTTTTCAGAAATTCTTTATACGGTAGGCTCTGTTAAAGCAGAGCTCATCTTTGCATGGGTTTTGTGCTCCCCAGAGTGAAATACTAAGTCTGATGTCATTTTTCTACCATAGTCACTCCCTGACGTCAGCGGTTCTCAGACTTCGGCTTGGGACCTCTTTACACTCTTAAAAATTACTGAGGATCCCAGAGTGCTTTTGTTTGTGTGGGCTATATCTATTGATCTATTGGTGTTTGTCATATTAGAAATTAAAACTGGGAAATATTTACAATGCTTATCTAAAAATGAAGCCCTGGTGGCGCAGTGGTTAAGAGCTCGGCTGCTAACCAAAAAGTGGGCAGTTAGAATCCACCAGCTGCTCCTTGAAACCCTATGGGGCAGTTCTCCTCTGTCCTATAGGGTCGCTGTGAGTCGGAATCGACTCGACAGCACACAACAGTAATCTAAAAATAATAATAAACTACTGCATATGAACAGAAATAACATTTTTTTATGAAGAATGACTTATTTCCTAAAACCAAAAAATAGAACAATGACACTTTTTGTTGTTGAAGTTTTACAGATATCTTTAATGTCTAGTTTGGACAGCTGGATTCTCATGTGCTTCTGTGTTTAGTCTCTTGGGATTTCACACATGTAGTCTCCGAAAAATTTCACTGTACCCTCAGAGCATGCGAGTGGAAAGAACAAACAACATTTTAATACTAAGAATAGTTTGACCTAGTGAACCCCCTGGAGGGACCTCCAAGACGCCTGGGGCTGCTGGCCGTGTTTTTAGAGCCACTGCGGCACACAGCCCAGCGGCAGAGTTTCTGTCAGCTTGCTTTGCTCCACAAGGAACTGGAAGCAACCTAGAGGAAACAATGTAATAAATATATAAATCAGAGGCAGGGAAATTAATTAGAATAGGATATGAAACACTGCTTAGCTAATACTCCATTAACTCAGAAGTAAATAGCCATTATTAACATTCCAAAAAACCAAAACCTACTGCCATCGAGTTAATTCCGACTCACAGCGACCCTGTAGGACAGAGTAGAGCTGCCCCATAGGGTTTCCAAAGCTGTAATCTTTATGTAAGCGGACTGCCACGTCTTTCTCCCACGGAGTGGCTGGTGAGTTCAAACTGCCGACCTTTCGGTTAGCAGCCAAGCTGTTAACTACTGCACCACCAGAACTCCTTATTAACATTAGAATATAAATAAGGTTAATCAGTATTCATTTATATTATTATTAAATCTTTTCTACCTGGCTTTTTTTTTTTTTAAATAGGAAATGTAACCGGAGAATCAGTAAATCTGTATTTTCTAACATAGCAGTGTGTGACACAGAAAATCCAGATATTTATTTCTTATAGTGAGTCTTACAGTGAAAAAAAGTCTTATTTTCTTGACTTACAAATGGTATTTGTTAATTTTGTCTTTTTCTCATATTTGTTGGAACTAATTTTTTATATATATACCTGTCTATTGCAAACTCTATTGGCACTAATAAGATACCTTATAAATAAATTTTGATGGGGCTGGGAAGATATTATAAATGCTTGTATACACACTGATAAGCTTTTGGCCTCTGCATTGCCTTTTAACCTTTAGATGGGATGTGCTTGCGTGACATAACCACTTCAGCTGTTACAGTGAAATAATCCAGTCAGGCACTTTGTAAAATCCACTTTCTAGTTAATAAATGCATTTAACAAATTGTTTTTTTTTTTTTCCCAAATATGGAGAACTTTTTACAGAATACCATGTTTGTGTTCTCTAATTGCTGTTCCTTCCTGTGTAATTTTCTCTCTAGCTGACTGGAAGTACCGGCATGCAGGATTGATGGCCTTATCCGCCATTGGTGAAGGATGCCACCAGCAAATGGAAGGAATTCTAAATGAGATAGTAAATTTTGTTTTGCTTTTTCTTCAGGATCCAGTAAGTACCAGTAAATAATGTGATCCATAATTATTACCATAGTTTCATGTGGGAACATTGCCTTTGCTAATCAAGGGACTATATTCCAGCATCCGAGAGTAAGGTATGCAGCCTGTAATGCTGTGGGACAGATGGCTACAGATTTTGCACCTGGTTTCCAAAAGAAATTCCATGAAAAGGCAAGTAGCAAGTCCTCAAACACTCAAATCAAACTTTGAAGATGAGGGGTAGGCATTTCAAAATGTGTTTGTTTGGTTTGCTTTTGCAGGTGATTGCAGCCCTGCTGCAGACCATGGACGACCAAGGCAATCAGCGAGTGCAGGCCCATGCCGCAGCTGCCCTCATTAACTTTACGGAAGACTGCCCCAAGTCGCTCCTCATCCCATATCTAGATAACTTGGTGAAGCATCTGCATTCCATCATGGTGCTTAAACTTCAGGAGGTAAATTTCACCATCTTCGTGTTCCTAAGCCCCCTGTTTAGAGGTTGACTTGATGTGAGTAAGACCTGGAGAAAGACTTCAGCATGGCCATAAAGAATAGGAAGAGGCAGACTGGGAATTCCACCCCATGCTGAGGAATTCAGGCCCAACCAAGACCATTGGCTGATACTGGAATTGGGAAAGAGTCTAAAAGGCAACATCAGCATATGAATTGTCTTGAAAATAAGGCGGAGGAATTTTTTAACTCTGATTTGTATAAATTTAGAAGAATCATTTTGTATTCTTAGGCAATGGGAGAAATGATGATGTGATTGTAGAAAAATTCTCGTGAGACGTAAACAAAGAAAGAAGCTTTAAGGGAAGACGACCATATGATCATTGTCCGGGGAATTTGGCTGGTAGTAGTGGGAACTGAGGGAAAGTGATGGCTCTGGATGACATTTCACAGGAAACATTAACAGGTTTTTCCTGCCAGTTTGAATTTAAAAAGGTGAAAGAGGAGGAAGTGAAAAATGCTTACTGTTCTTCTGTCCTGGGTAACAGAAATAGAGGTGACAGGAAAAGAATATCCTTTTTGCTTTAAATATGTAAAAAATTTAAAAGAAGTGTTGGCTACCTAAGTAGCGATAGTTTATATTTACAATTTAAGGAAGAGGTGCACTCTGAAAACCGTAATTGAATGATGTTAGTAGAGCAGCGTGTGAGAAAGATGATGTAGTTGAGAAAAGCAGGGAATGACCCCAGCTTGTCGTCTAAAGCAGCAATCCCCCAGTCGTCCGTCGGGAAGGATCAGGTGGTTTTACAAACCCTGGTGTACCGATACTGAAGGATTGCTCAGCATGGGGAGGCAGACCCAGAAGCCAGAGGAGGAGGAGCTTCAAACAGAGGTTGAATGCTCGGTGTCAGGCGACACAGTGAGAGTGGTGAAGAACAGGCGTGTGTCTGAAGACAGACAGAAGTGGAACCAAGGTGGAGAGGGGATAGGTGGGTTAAATCAGGAATAGATGGATAAAAAGTGTCTTTAAAAGTAGGTCTGGGTAGAGGGCTGCAGAGCCCACGAGCCTGTCTCCCCTCCTTGCCCCCCAGAGGTGCAGTTTGGGGGGGTGAGTTTGAAGCCTGAGAGGAGTTGCTGAGATGAGGGGGAGGGAGGATACAGTATGTGAGCAGGAATGTACAGAGAGAAGGTAGCCTTAAAGATCTGGTCGAGGACAGAAGACTCCCTCTCGGGTCCGGGCAAGGTGAAGACACTGTATGTGGAGCAGGTGTTGAGTTGCAGAAATAGGGAGTAAGGTAACTGCTTACAGATGGCATAGAACTCGTAATAAAAGGTGAAGTCCTCTGCTGGGAGTGTGGTTGATGTGGCAAATGAAGAAAATTGAGTTTTCTCTAGGTATTTATATCAATTGACAAAGAGTTGTTATATAGATACAGATATCCAGGTGCTAGAATGAGCCCAGCTGCAAATACCAGTAACTACTAATTAGTAGCCAGGTCAGAGTATACTAGTATACTAGACAGATCATTGGTGCAAGAGAAATGGTGATCTCATGTGTTTCACCAAATGGAGAAATAGATGCAAGAGAGAGTGGCAGGGGTCATTAGTGTTCTGGGAAGAGGCAGACTCTGGCTAAGTTAAGAAGTTAGAGGAATGGGCTAAAAAGGGAATTTTCCTCACAACATGCTAGGACAGCTGGCTAGCACAAAGTGTATAGTAACTAGAGGGAGTAAATCACAAAAAATACTAGTAAGAACAGTAGGCATTAAGCGTGATGGGTGCAAAAATTTAGGGGAAGTCAGTGTTTATACTCAGAATTAGCTGTGCTTTGAGATAAAGCAGAAATAAGGGGTATCTTGGAAGTATGGCTAAATGCTCCTTAGAAGCAAGGATGACAAGACTTCATCTCACATACTTTGGACATGTTATCAGGAGAGACCAGTCCCTGGAGAGAAGGACATTATGCTTGGTAAAGTAGAGGGTCAGTGAAAGAGAGGAAGACCGTCAACGAGATGGATTGACAGTGGCTGCAACAATGGGCTCAAACGTAGCAGCGATTGTGAGAATGGCACAGAACAGGGCGGGGTTTCCTTCTGTTGTACATGGTGTGGCTGTGAGTCGGAACCTGCTTGATCGCATCTAACAATGACAGTTACTAACTAAAGAGAGAAAATCTCACGTAAACAGTTTAACACAGATCATTTCTATAGGAATTTATTCCAGAACCTGAAGTCTCCACTTCTGGCGTCTGGAGAGGTGGTCTCAGCTCGCTATTTCAGAAGAGCATTTAGGAACTTGAAGGGAGTGGTTTATGCCAAGGCGATCGTTGTACTGATAGTGGCAGGTTAAACTACCTCAGGTTTTACCATTGCTTCAGAGTCGAGTATTTCTTCCAGTTTTTTTATGTAAGTAATGTATTCGGTGCGTGTCTTCCTTCTAGTTGATTCAGAAAGGCACCAAGTTAGTTTTGGAACAAGTTGTGACATCCATTGCATCGGTTGCAGACACTGCAGAAGAAAAGTTTGTCCCCTACTACGACCTGTTTATGCCATCCCTAAAACATATTGTTGAGAACGCGGTTCAGAAGGAACTCAGACTTCTGAGAGGAAAAACTATCGAATGCATCAGCCTCATTGGTCTGGCTGTTGGGAAGGAAAAAGTAAGTGACTTGTCAGTATGTTGAAGGTTTGTAATTTGGCTGTGGAGGTATTGAGAGTACTAGAGGATTTTTTTCCTTCCGATGAATATTTTTCGGCTGCTTGGGGGGTTTTTTGTTTGTTTTTTATTCATCAGTTCCTTACTCTCCTTTCACATTACTCCACCGTATATATATGTAAATTGTTGCCTTCATATTTTCATCATTGATAAGTTTTGTCCTTAACTGAGTGACGTTCTTGGAAATCCCGACTTCCCCTACCACACCTGAAGTCTGTCTCTTGGGAGGCATGCGTTTATGTTCACTGGTTTAAACATGTGCTTGGAAGCTTGCCAGTTTTTATAGCTCCTCAGAAAATAATTAGCAAGCACTGTTGGCCAATACGTTTTTTCTTCCCAGCCAGTGTCTCAGTGTTGTCAAAGCTAACCCAGAGGAAGTTCTTCCATCACCTCCTCTCGTTCGTTCTCACCCTGAGACCTGACAAATGGAACTTCTCTGTCTTGTCTCCTCCAAAACCAGCATCAGTGTTAACTTACCTTATAAACTGGTTTTTGTGGGACTCTTTGAGAACCTAGCCAATGCTGTTCTAGAAGAACGTTAAATCTGTTGCAACGTAGATGAGAAATTTTCAGTTTTACCAGTGGGGTTATGACTTGTGGGATAAGTACTGGCTTTCTGTTTTGTTTTTGAAAGTTTTATAATCACGTAAGAAACAGAATTAAGCAGCAACAAGTGTCTCTCTTATCTGATACACTATAATATTGGCAATAAAATATTCTCAAACATTTTATTCTAGTTCATGCAAGATGCATCAGATGTGATGCAGTTATTGCTGAAGACACAGACAGACTTCAGTGATATGGAAGATGATGATCCTCAGGTAAAGCACTGTGATCTGTTGGCCTTGATCCGTTTATGAGTTGCAGGTAACACAAGGTTAAAGGTACTTTTTTTAAAAAATGTGTAATAGGTTCCCGGATGATATCAACCCTTGGTTTCGGTGGTTTTTCAGTGGTTTTCCTTCTATTTCTCGTGCCCTTTTTTCTCAGTCTGTTGTGGGCTTCTCCGTCTCTCTCCGAGTCTTTTAAACTTGAACGCTCTTGAAGGTTCTGTCTTAGGCCCTCTTGTCTACTCAGTCTCCTTGAGCAGTACCATCCACAGTCATGACTTTAGTTCTCTTTTATATGCTTGTGACTTGCAGATCTTTCTCCAGAATTCAAGATTCATGTCTCCAACCATTACTGGAGATCTCTGGATGTCACCTGGCCCATTGAATGCACCTTAACCTCCCTCCCCTCTCAGAAGAAAATACAGAAACGCAACAGTCTCAGGGAATGTGACCATCCCTTGTCACTTGCGCCCCAGCTGGAATCCGCACCTCGCCTTTGCATTCTCTCCTCTCACTGCCCGTCTCTTTTCAGAAATCCTCTAACCTTCTGAGCGTCTCTTAACTCTGTCGGCTTTTTCCTTTCCCCATAGCCGCTGCACCATGTTACCATACTCAGAGTATCAGCCACTGAGCTTAGGAGAGTGAATCTCATCATCTGTACTTTAAAAATCCTTTTTGCCTTTGGGATAAATTCCAAACTCCATAATGCGGCAGAGGGCCGTATGATCCCGGACAGAGCTGGGGAAAAATGTAGAACAAATTCTAACTCACCAAAAAAAAGACCAAATTTACTGGCCTGACAGGGACTGGAGAAACCCCGAGAGTATGACCCCCAGACACCTTTTTAACTCAGTACTGAAGTCACTCCTGAGGTTCACCCTTCAGTCAAAGATTAGACAGGCCCATAAAACAAAACGAGGCTGAAGGGGCACACCAGCCCAGGGGCAAGGACAAGAAGGCAGGAGGGGACAGAAAAGCTGGTAACAGGGAACCCAAGGTCAAGAAGGGAGGATGTTGACATGTGGTGGGGTTGTTAACCAGTGTCACAAAGCAATATGTGTACTAACTGTTTAATGAGAATCTAGTTTGTTCTGTAAACCTTTGTCTAAAGTACAATCATTAAATAAATAAGGGCCTTATGATATGTTTCTTTGGTTTATGGAACATGCTGTGCTCTCCTCTCTACCTATGAACAAACATACCTTTGGCTTACAGCACCCTGCCCCATCCAGCCTGGCTGATTCCTACTCATGAGTCACCTCCTTTGTATGACTGTCCTGATTTTAGAGTCTCTATAGTAGACACTCAGGACGACATTGTCTTGTTATAACATTGTAGATGTCTCACGATTTTAGTGATTTTCCCAAAACCTGCCATAACAGCCATGCAATAAATAATTGTAGAATTAAAGTTTTACTTTACACAGCCACACTGTAATTGTTCCCCATACCTGAAACAGGTACAGAGAATAAGTAGGGTGGAGTAGAGTATGAAGAGCTTGTATGTTTTGTGTTTGGTTTTTGTTGTTGTTTTTTGCTTTGTTTGAAAAACGGTGTATAAATATACATGTACCTTTGTATAGAAGAGGTAAAAGGCGAGAAGGGTACTAACCCAACTGCTAACAGTAGGGAGCGTGAGAGGGCTGCAGGCTTCAAGGAGGGCGGTAGGATTCTGCGGGTCTTGTTCACCTTTTTATCAGCATGTGGTCTGGAATGCCTGGGACACGAAAAGAACCCAGTACATACCAGTGGAAGGAATGAGCTTTGGTTTTACACTTAAAATTACTGGTTTTGTTTTAATAAGAGGTGGGGGGAGAGAGAGAGAGTGTGTGTGTGTGTGCGCGCGCGTGTACCAGATTCACTCTAAGGGCTTTGCAGGTGATTAAGAGTGTGTGTGTGTGCGCGCGCGTGTGTACCAGATTCACTCTAAGGGCTTTGCAGGTGATTGTGTGTGTGTGTGTGTGTGTGTGTGTGTATGTGTGTGTGTGTGTACGTGTGTGTGTGTGTACGTACCAGATTCACTCTAAGGGCTTTGCAGGTGATCAAGTCCTGTGTAAACACAGTAGTAGGAGAGGAATTGCCTTCAGTATCCCCAACCACTTACACAAAAATTAGAAGAGCTGAGGAGAGAGAGGGATGTTGTGTTTCCTGAGTGTTAATAAGTGTTTAATGAATTGGAGTGCTAGGTAGTAGGGGTACACAGACAAATAAAGTATGTGCCTACCTTCAAGAAAATTAGTGTCTAGTAGTTGACCAGTTTAACTGGGTTTCATTTAGGTGGTTTAGATGCTAAGAGAGAAGCTGTGATTGCTTCTTGAAAATAAGAAAAAATAGGCAAGACCCTAGTCTTTGTCTTTTTGCCTCACCTCTATCCGTATCCCAACATAGAGAGTTCGTAGTGATTTCATTACTGAGTCTGACCATTTTTAAGTATATGGACATGGGAAGTGCCCTTACTGCTTAAAGGGTCATGAACTTATCATAAAGCTGTGTTTCTATAAAATACGGAGATGGCTTTATGTTGAATACCCATATATTTTTAAATGAATAAAATTTTAATTTTCTTTCTAGATCTCTTATATGATCTCAGCATGGGCTAGAATGTGCAAAATCCTTGGAAAAGAATTTCAGCAATACCTTCCAGTGGTGATGGGGCCTTTGATGAAGACAGCGTCCATTAAACCTGAAGTAGCTCTTTTAGACAGTAGGTGTCTTCATGGGGACATACCAGTATTAAAATTTCTCTTGTTAATATTTGTAACATGAATTTATTTTATTCCTTATTAATAGCCCAAGACATGGAGAATATGAGTGATGATGATGGTTGGGAGTTTGTGAATCTTGGAGATCAGCAGAGTTTTGGTATTAAAACTGCAGGACTGGAAGAAAAATCCACTGCTTGCCAGATGTTGGTAAGTGATCATAATTTTTATTAAACTTGATTTTACTGCTTCTCATAATACATTTATATGTTTCATGGGACAGCTTTCATAGATGCTAATGAAATTGTTTTGAGGAACCAAGATACATTCTGTAAAAAAAATGTAGGAACCTTTTGGCCCAACATTTCTTTCTTCCTTTCTCTCTCTCTCTGTTTCTTTCCCTTCCTCCCTCCTGTCCTTAGTTTCTTCCTTCATTTTTAATCTTACTTTATTGTGTTTTTGGTGAAAGTTTACACGGTAAATCAGGTTCCCGTTTGACAATTTCTGTACAGTTTGTTCAGTGACGTTGAATTTTTCACGGTGAGCCAGCGTTGTGAAATCTTGCGTTCACTCTGTTCTGTTTGCTCTGTTGCCAGCAGCTAGTTTTCCCGCCCCCTTGTATTCTCATCTTCGCTTCGCGTAATAGTTGACGTTTTGGTCTTATGCAGATGATGGTTTGGTTTTTGTTTTTAGTAGAGCACCATACGCAGCAGGTAATACCCTTTGTTTTGTGTGTCACTCTGTTATTTTGTTCAAAGGTGGTCTCGGGATAGTTTTCAGTTCCAGGTTTAAAGAGTGTCTCAGGGTGATAGTCTCAGGGAGTCTTCTGGTCTCAATGGGTCCAGCAAGTCTGGACTTTTAAGAATTTGACTTCTGTTGTACATTTTTCTCCCATCCTATCAAGGTTCACCTGTTGCAGCCCTGCTGAGAATGGTCAGTAGTGGTAGCTCGGCATCATCTCGTTCTTCTGTTGACCCAACGTTTCTCCTTCTGGTTCCCATCTTAAAGAAATCATGTGGACAGAGCCTTTCAGTAGTAGTACAGTTTTTAATAGCAAAAGCAATAAACAGCCTGAATGCCTGTAGTAGGAAAATGACCGATAAATTCTTGCACCTGGAGTATTATGTAGGCGTGTGCAGGGAGTGGAATGTGAGCTGTGTGAGGGCAGTGCCTTTTGTTTCTTTTGTTAACTTCTGTATCAGCATGCTGTCTGGTGCCTGGAGTATAGCAGGTGGCCAGGAAGTGTTGTTAAAAGACTGACCAAACATGTGCTCCCGAAAGTAAAACGAAACTGAGAATGATTTCAGCCCTGTTAGTAAAGGTCGCGGTGGGGAAATAGAATTGCTAACAGTGGTTGTGTCCTGGGGTGTCACGGGGGGCGGGGGG